TAAATGTGTTGTTTCAGTTTCTGAATAATACAGGTTTAATGAAGAGAATGTAGGATAAGTATATATAGAGAGGTAGAAGATGCTGATATAGTGTGGGTAGAAGGGAAAGTATATCTGAAGGTTAAATAAGGATACAGTGGGATATTGGGATTTAAAGGGAATTGGGGTGGAAACTGGAGGAGCTGAACACGCAGCGCCAGTGATAGAAAATGTTAAGCGATAGAGGAAATGTTTCTGATCCAAGCTACCTGATGATGGCAGTAATGCACTGTTAAGTGCGGTTGCCAGTAAAAGAAAGAGGAAGAAGAAGAAGAGAGAGGTTGGAAGCAGGGAGTAGCAGGACTTAAGGTATGTAAATATGGACGTCTTATTTAACAACATTTCTACGAATATTTCCGGCAGAACTTAGTATTATCCCTTGAACTCGCTTACAAGCGATAAGGAATTTGCTTTTTCCGCGGCAGCAGTCGTTTCCAGATTTTGGTGGACTCAATCAATGGCTGTCTCAGAACCGGGTGAGCTGCTTACCTAGACAGCATCTTGGGACATCTCAGTCGCGTTTGAATGTTTTCCGAAATGCTTTCTAGGAAGGCAGCGCACAAGGTTTCGAAACACAACCGATGTTAGCTTCATTGCTAGTGACCACGGAATTGCTAACTTCCCTGAGAATTGAGACAGTCAGTCAGCCAGTAAGTTACATTTAGAAACGAACCAGAAGATTTGCAAACTCTATTTGATTATAAGATACAGTGAAATCAACGAAGGCCACCTGTATGACACTATAGTTTTAACTAATGCAAATGAGTAACATGAACACAGCAGCACTTTCACTTGCCTGAGTAGTTGATGTGAATATCAGTGGCAGCCTTTTATGTACTGATGCTTGTAGTGTACAATATATCTTAAAGTAACGTTTAGATTTTCTGATAACGTACATGCTTGAAAACCTAGTGGGCTGCCTGTCTAGACAGCATTGTAGTCATCATACCACAGCTCATTAGTGGTCTACCACTTGTCAGTATTGCTTTCCAGGTTTTCAGACAGCATCATGTGGCAGTCATGTGTTTCATAATTCCAGTAAAGCTTATGTTTTTACAACAAAGTTAACTGCAGCACACACACTCAAACTGCAGGATTGACTCTGGACTAGAAGTGCTTTTAGTTACTTAAGCAATGGGTCAAAAGGGCAAATGGAAACAAGCACTAAAAACACTGAGACTGACAACTAATACTTGTGCATGAACATTTGCTTGGTTTCTCTAGTTTCTCTTTCCTTGCTTAAAGTTAGCCTGAAATGCAAATTCACCCAATCCATTTTCTATTTTCTGTTCTTATGGATTTTTATTTTATTTTAGTATTATCATCATTATTATTATTATTATTATTATTTTGACTTAAATTTTAATCCAAAAATATAACTGGATAACTGGACCTTCCAGTGAAGCGACAGACTTCTTTCTGGTTACATATGCTGGACTTCTCCAATCATGTAGTCCACTTAAACTCCGTCCCTTTCTTACAGGTCACTACAAGCTCTTCATCCAGTCAACAACCGGATAGAACCAAGACCCCGCCCTTCCTTTTTGCTTTTTCGATTATCTGTTGCACTTTGGATGTACAGCACAATACAAAAGAAAGATCTTTCACTACTTCCGTCTCTTTGTGACTTTAATGTACGTTCATGGTCTTACTTCATGGAAGAATTTATATGTTTTGTCTCTCTCCTCTGTTCACCTCTTTTGTTTTCCCGAAAACACTGATTAGGCCTGGATTTGGTGGCCGGAAGGAAGGAGCAGCGTGGCATCCCTCTCCTCCTCTCATGTCCCCTCCCTGTGTGTCCTTGCATGTCAGTGTCCCCTCGTCATCCCCCCTGTGTCTCACCCCACCAGCCCACTGTGTTCCTCCCCCTCATGCTTGGGACAGACTGGCCTCACTGTCAGACCAATGACTGCCTGGATAATACTGCCTGTCAGCCTGGCTGCCTTCTCTATCACTGGGATATGGATAGTGTGAGTTTAAATATGCTGCCACCCACGATTCAAAGATATCTTCAAATGCATTCATTATTGTTTGTCACATCAAATAGTTTTTAAAAGTTGAAATCAGAGTTTTTTGTTTGTTTGTTTATTTTTTCAAATATACAGATTCACATACATAAAATTGCAAGCATAAACAATATAGTGTTGTTTTGCTGTGTCCTCAGATATGCTATGGCTGTAATGAACCACCATGTTTGTCCTGTTGAAAACTGGTAAGTTGGGCTTGTTTCACTCAGTTTATTTAAAACCATATGATGTTTATGTAATTTGATAGTCAACTCTATTATTTTAAAGGTCGTACAATGTGACATGCACAGAGGAAACAGCCAAGCCGGGCTTCCCAAAAACATGCTGCACCATTCAAGACATCCCCCTCATCAGGTAGTCATATACACTTTATTTTGAGCTCTTCCTCTTTAGTTTGAGTCTGTGTTTATTTCCAGTATGATCTGACAATGTCTTTGTCTAAACTTTGATTCAGTAAGTGTGGATCTTACCCTCCCGAGAGCTGTCTTTTCAGTCTCGTTGGTAATGTGGGAGCTTTCATGGGTAAGACTGCTTGTTCTCATATTTCCACATATTCTACACCAGCATTGACATATTGAGTAACAGAGAAGAAAAGCATGAATGGAAGCATCCAGAGTGGCAGAAGTGTCGCAGAAACAGATACCTGCATGAGACTTACAGACATGCTACTTATTGCGTCATCTATATTGGATGTTTTCCTGTGTCGCTTCATTACGTGTTGTGTTATGAGTGAGCTGATATGTTGAGATTACGTGATTAGGGGTTTGATTGTCCTGGTCTTGTTGAAGGTTGGCTGTCATCTGCTTCTATTTGTGTTGTGATGTGAAATCAGGGGTGTGGTATTACACACTTTTACACACCATAACTTAAAAAATAAATCTTATAAATGAAAAAATAAAAAAACATAAGATTTGTGTGGGCAAATACAGCTAAAAAGTAATATATAATGTATATACTGTGGCCCCCCCAAAATACTTGGACACTAAAGCCATGCTTAAAAAATTTATTGTTGTTGGATTGTGTAACAAAATATCAAATGAAGTTAAAAATATATGTTTAGCATGCACTTCAGGTTTCTAACATACATTACCATTCAAAAGTTTAGAATTTTTGCGAGAAGTCTCAAGGCTGCGTTTATTTGATTAAAAGTACAGTAAAAAGTGTTACATTGTAAAATATTATTACATTACATTTTAAAATAATTGTTTTCTGTTTAATATATTTTAAGATTGAATTTATTCCTGTGCTGCCAAATTTGATACATTCTTCAGTGTCACGTGATCCTTCAGAAGTCATTATAATATGTTTGATGCTCAGGAAACAGATTTCCTGCTTAATATTTTTGTATAAACCATAATTTTTTTTTTCCGGATTCTTACATGAAAAGAACATTCAAAATAACTGCATTTATTAAAAATATAAATCTTTTGTTAAAAAATTTCAATCAATTTGATTACATTTTTTTTTTTTTTTAAATAAGTTAATGTATTTGGATTTTTTCAGTCTTCAATGGATTATGAGAAAAGTTCTAGTATCAGTTGTTTGTAGATGCTACTTGATTTGATATTTTGTTATCTAATGCAGTTAAAACTTTGGTGTCCAAATAAAAACAAATACACTGCAAATATTGTCAAAGCTAAAACAAAAAAAACAACAACACTGCTCTACAAGTGCTCTATACTATGGAAAAAAAATGAACAGAAACAAAGCAAAAAGGAACTTTGTAACCACAAGTTGTATGCGTGTGGAATGGTCTGATTGCTTAGTGTTTCTGTTCTCTTTTTACGTGTAGTGGTGTTGGTGTGTCTGCTACGGTATGCTCAGATCATTGAGCACAGGAACCACTGTTGGCTCAACACCAGTGGACTTGTGTCTGGATGCACCAATGCTGTGGGACTGGTCATGGTGGGCAACTTCCAGGTCAGTCACGCAATTCTGCCTAAACACTGATCCGTGTATGATTATCATCTGATAAACACATTTATGGCGCTTTTCCACTGCATGGTACGGCACGGTACGGTTCACTTTTGGGGGGTTTTCCACTGGGTACAGTACTTGGTACTTTTTTTAGTACCACCTCGGTTGGGGTTCCAAGTGAACCGTACCGTTACCAAAACGTGACGTGTATACTCTGCTGATCACGGATTGGCCGGAGAGAATCGTCACTACCTGCGTCACTGAAATTGCACCACAAACACAACAGAACCATTAGATTAAAATCAGCACAGCCAGCGAATGATCGAACGCAACCAAAAAGTGGCTGTTTCGTTGTCTGTTGAGGAAGTACAGACGTTCCTCTCGTTGATAGCAGAGGAGCGGATCCACCGAGAGCTTGATAGGGCGACGCGGAATGAAAAAGTTTTTTTTAGGAGTCGTGGTAGTAGAGGTGGTGCAGCTATAACGACATGTGAATAATCCCGCCCACTCTAAAGCAGTACTGAACTGCAGTGGAAACGCAAACCGTGCCGAGCCATGCCGTGCCGTACTGAGCCGAGCCGAGTCGTACCACGCAGTGGAAAAGCGCCATCAGTTTCAGAGTAGATTGACCCGCTCACCATTCACATCACTGAAACCAAAAATGGTAACAAGCATTTAGGCATCTGTTAGTGCTGTATGAGGAGATATTAAGGGCTGATTCTTCACCCTTAGTCTTATCATGGGCCTTAAATTCAGTGCATCAGACTGATGCGTTGATCAGCATCAGAGTGTTTCAGAGAGGGTGATGTTCTCAAAGTGATTAGTATTGATCCATGCATGCAGCCATCTCATTCTTCAAAATGGATTTTAGAGGGCATTTTACTCGCTCATCTTTAATAGCACCTCCATCCGTATACTGAGTGCGCAATAAGCAAATTTCTTGTTGCAGCAAGACAAAGTTGACTGTGTTTTTTTTTAGTCCACTTTGTCCAGGATAGATGTCATACAAGTGTGTCTGTCATCATGTTTCAATGGTCTTGGTCTTTTATTTCAATGCTTTGATTTATTATTACTTGAATAACTCCGTACTGTACTGCTTTTCGACTAGGTGGACCACGCTAAAACACTTCACTATGTAGGTGCGGGTGCTGCCTTCCCAGCAGGCATTCTGTTCGTGTGTTTGCAGTGTTTGCTGACCTACCGGGTGGCTGTCACCGCTCTGGACTACTGGATGGCTCATGTGCGTGTGGCACTGGCTACTGGTGCTCTCATCACACTGGTTCTCAGTATCCTTCCTTATTGAATATGGCTGGAAAATGATGAATAAGTGTGTGTTGCTAATTTTTCTTGACATGGGTTGCTTATTTGTCTTGGCTGTTTAGACCATATTACCTGTTTGCACATCATGAACTATTGCAATTTAAAGTGCCCCTATTATGCCATTTTTAAGGTTGCTAATATTGTTTTATGAGTCTCCTAAAACAGGTTTACATGCATGCAAGTTCAAAAAACACGTTAGTTTTCTCGATGTATTACTTTGTGACGTAGAGCCATAACAGAATAAGATTCAAATTCCTGACGACTCGTTTAGGCGATTGCGAGCCGACTCTTTTTTTTTTTTTGATAGACAATAACTTTATTTATCGTGCACTGTCGGCTTCACAACTTTGCAGATAGTTTATGTTCACATACAGCTACATGACACACTGCATGAAAGGTAATATTCGAAAAGGCATAATAGGGGCACTTTAATAATAATGTAATGTTCACCCAAAATGAAAATTTCTTCATCCTCATGTCATACGAATGACATACTATCTTCTGAGAAATTGTACTGGTTGCTCTATTCCATGCAATGAGTCTCCCTTTAGGCTTTTAAAGGGCTACTTCACCAACATACTCACCCACCCACATGTCGTTCTAAACCTCTGTGACATTCTTTCTCTTGTGGAACATAGAAGATATTTTGAGAAATTGCTCTGTTTTTTTTTTTGGTCCGTATAATAGTTTGGCTATCAACACTCTTCAAAATATCTTCTTTTGTATTCCGCAGATGAAGGAAAGAATAGTTTGGAATAGTGTGGGTGAGTAAATGACGATACAATTTTCCGTTTTGATGATCTATTCCTTTAAGCTTCAAAAAGGACACAAAAGCATCATGAAGGTGTCCTAAAAGTGATCTGTATGACTTGTCAACTCAAGTCACCTTTATTTATATAGCGCTTTATACAATAGAGATTGTGTCAAAGCAGATTTACAGTGTCAAACAGGAAAATAGTTTGCAAATAATGCAAGAGGACAATAACAAAACTTTTCAATTTTTCAGTTAGTTCATTGTTGATTCAGTGATGTCATCATCCAGTTCAGCTCTCTTCCAATAGTGTTTGTGCAATCAAGCTGACAGTATTGCCAGAAATTAAGCGTCCCCAACTAAGCAAGCCAAAAGCGACAGTGGAAAGGAACCAAAATTCTGTCGGTGACAGAAATGGAGAAAAAAAACCTTGGGAGAGACCAGGCTCAGTTGGGGGGCCAGTTCTCCTCTGATGATGTGTTTTAATTCCAGGCTGCAACACAAGTCAGATTGTGCAGAGGACTTGTCTGGTTCCCATGGTGTTGTCTCGATGGCCGTCTAGTTGACGAGGTCTTTGCAAGGGATTTATCTCTAGGGCTTATCTAGTTGACATGGTCTCTGCTGACATTTAGGGCTGTAGAGGTCGTCTGAGAGGTGCTGATCCACCATCTGGTCTGGAAACGGACTGGGTCCGGGTGGCTACGGTGATCTCAGAATAAGAATGAAACAGACTAATATTTGCGTAGATGCCATTCTCCTTACGATGTAACCAGTTCATCGGGTGTTATGGGAAGTGTTCCCGGTTCCGGTTGACCTAATTAATGCAGCCTAACAATCATTTAACGGATTTGTATTATAGAAATGTGATAGTGTATTATGTGTATGCCAGGTTAAAGAGATGCGTCTTTAATCTATATTTAAACTGACAGAGTGTGTCTGCCTCCCAAGCAACACTAGGTAGATTGTTCCAGAGTTTGGGCGCTAAATAGGAAAAGGATCTGCCGCCCGCAGTTGATTTTGATATTCTAGGTATTATCAAATGGCAAGAGTTTTGAGATTGCAGTAGACGTGAAGGACAATAATGCGGTATGAGCTCGCTCAAGTACTGAGGAGCTAAACCATTCAGTGCTTTATAAGTAATTAGCAAGATTTTAAAATGTATACGATGTTCAATAGGGAGCCAGTTCAGAGTTGACAGAACCGGGCTAACATGAACTTACTTCCTGGTTCTTGTAAGAACTCTAGCTGCTCCATTTTGGACCAGCTGGAGTTTGTTTATTAAGCGAGCAGAACAACCACCCAATAAACCATTACAATAATCTAACCTTGAGGTCAGGAATGCATTCACTGCTACGAATTGATGATGGTCAGATAAGTAAGATTTGAACCATGCCAATGCAATTCCACTAATGCCAACATAATTTTGTACTCTACTCAAAAGAATGTTGTGGTCGATAGTGTCAAACGCAGTGCTAAGATCCAGTAGCACTAATAGAGAGATACAACCACGATCGGATGATAAGAGCAGGTCATTTGTAACTCTGATGAGAGCAGTCTCAGTACTATTATATGGTCTAAATCCTGACTGGAAATCCTCACAGATACCATTTCTCTCTAAGAAGGAACATAGTTGTGAGGATACTGCCTTTTTAGTATCTTTGACAGAAAAGGGAAATTTGCGATCGGTCTGTAATGAACTAATTCTCTAGGATCAATTTGTGTTTTTTTTAATGAGCGGCCTAATAACAGCCAGTTTGAAGGATTTAGGGACATATCCTAATGGCACTGACAAATTAATAATATTCAGAAGAGGATCTATGACTTCTGGAAGCAACTCTTGTAGTAGCTTAGATGGTATTGGATCTAACATACATGTTGTTGATTTGACAAGTTTATACAATTCTTCCTGTCCTATAGCAGAGAATGAG